TCGGGGGCTTTAGAGTTTTACTTTAGGTTGGTGATAGCGATGTGTGTCCAAACCCCAAAGCACCCTAACTTAGTCGTTCACGAACATCGCAAAAAAACAGACAGAAATATACTTGTAATTTTTAAAGAAAAGACATTAACGGCTTTTGGTAATGTTTAAAGGTATAGAAACTTCAGATGTATCAGGCATGCGCACAAGAACGCACCCAAGGGCGGGCCTTTAGAGTTTGATAATGAAAAAAACACCAGACATATATAGTTTACATTTTTTCTTAAAATGTATACGGATCGTTTTGTTATAGCGAAATTTTAAATTAGTATGAGTGTGATTCAAGTCATTTAGGCAACAAGATTTGAGGAAGAACCTAAATAGTGGTTAGAAATACTCGACCAGGCAGACAGAAGTGTGCTTTTCTTATCTCACAAGCCATGGAAGGGTAGGGGGTGTAGGAACTGTGGAATCAGGCAAGGGTGTAAGAATTTAGGATATATTTTTGTTATTTTAAAGAAGGTGTACATGATTATTTAATTACAGTTAATAGGAACTAGTAAGCTGCATTTAGCATCATGCAGCAAATACACATTAAAAACTTTAAGGCCACTTAAAATTAATAAATTGTTTTACATGATTCAAACTTTTATTGGTGAGTAGGGGATTTTATATTTTATATTTTTAGCGAAAAGACGAACGGCAACAGAGATATACTAAAACTAGAAAAGTTCTCAAAGTTCTCAAGCTCGTGAAGGGTAATATTACTCGGTATATTGATGCCCTGCCAAGATTTTAATACCGTGGGCCCACACACAATCTGACAAACGATAAAAACCATTGTCCGAGAAGCGTCAAATTGAAAAATCCGAGGCTGACATTAAAGATTTTTCACCCACAGTTTTTGAGGTGAAAAAAACAGATTTTTTGAAAAATATAAAACATAAAAAAAATCGAGGCGGCACCAAAAAATTGAGGCGGGCGGCCATGTAAAACAATTTATTAATTTTAAGTGGCCTAAAGAATAATGCCTCAGTTGTTTTAATAAAAACATTCTTCATTAAATGTCAGACATCCTACAAGGTGTCCCCAAGGCCCCTGCTTATATCATCTACAAGCTTGATTTCAGATGCTTGCTAGAGTAGCATGTTAAGTTGGTAATGGTAACTGAGATGCAGCCTGCTTGATAGTTACTGAAACATAGTCCCGATTCAACAGTGCCAGCGGTCATCCACTATGCAGCGAGACTACAGATTGACTTTACCGACCCCGTTTATCCGTTGGCATTATTTAAATTTTTTTTTGACAGAATAAAGTCTTAGTTATTTTAATAAATACGTTTTTTCAGTAAATGTTTGTTCATGCTCATGCGCACAAACACACACATAAACATACAAAAACAGACAGAAATAGACTTGTAAATTTTAAAGACATTACTGGCTTTTGTTAATGTTTAAAGATATAAAAACTTTAAATGTACTTGTTAAATAGGCAAACAAAAATATGTTATTTTAAATTAGTGAAAAATATAACCTTAACTTTAGACACAAGATGAACACCCTACACACACACAAACGCACACACACAGCAAAGCCCCGGACATGCGCACAAGCGTGCACCCAAGGGTTGGCCTTTAGAGTTTGATAATCAAACTCAATCAAGAAACACCAGACATATATAGAGTATGTTTTTTTCTTAAAATGTATAAGGATCGTTTTGTTATAGCGAAATTTTAAATGACCCAGTAAAACCTGATAAGTTAATTGAACTTAAAAAAATGCTGAAACTGATTACATCGAACATTTTAACAGACTCCAACTTAAGTTGCAGAAGGATTCTTTATTAAGTAGCTTTAACTAGATAATGTGACACTAATTTGATTGAAGTATCATTCTCTTCAAAGTTATTGTTACAAGGTGTTTTGCCTTCACAGTGCAAATTAAAATTGATTAATAAAAAAAAAAAAATATTCCCTTTATTATAGTGTTTGATTTCTCAATATTTGTAAACTTTAACAATATTTTTATAGATAATTTTATTTTATTAGGATCATTACAAAACATTACATACTTGTCAAAGTTAAAAAAAACAAGGTCAAAACCAGTTTAAATGATAGTTACTCTTTTATTAAGCAACCATAAAACATTAACCAAACTATGAAATCTGTTTGGAAAATGAAAAACAGTCTAAACAGTGCAGCGACCTTGAGAAATGGCCTTGGGGGGGGGGGAACCACAGCCATCCACGATATGGATAAAATCCTTTGTTCTAACAAACCTTTTATGAGACCTATATACACATACACTCACCTAAAGGATTATTAGGAACACCTGTTCAATTTCTCATTAATGCAATTATCTAATCAACCAATCACATGGCAGTTGCTTCAATGCATTTAGGGGTGTGGTCCTGGTCAAGACAATCTCCTGAACTCCAAACTGAATGTCAGAATGGGAAAGAAAGGTGATTTAAGCAATTTTGAGCGTGGCATGGTTGTTGGTGCCAGACGGGCCGGTCTGAGTATTTCACAATCTGCTCAGTTACTGGGATTTTCACGCACAACCATTTCTAGGGTTTACAAAGAATGGTGTGCAAAGGGAAAAACATCCAGTATGTGGCAGTCCTGTGGGCGAAAATGCCTTGTTGATGCTAGAGGTCAGAGGAGAATGGGCCGACTGATTCAAGCTGATAGAAGAGCAACTTTGACTGAAATAACCACTCGTTACAACCGAGGTATGCAGCAAAGCATTTGTGAAGCCACAACATGCACAACCTTGAGGCGGATGGGCTACAACAGCAGAAGACCCCACCGGGTACCACTCATCTCCACTACAAATAGGAAAAAGAGGCTACAATTTGCACGAGCTCACCAAAATTGGACAGTTGAAGACTCAGACTCAGGTAGGCCGTGGCATTTAAACGATGCCCAATTGGCACTAAGGGACCTAAAGTGTGCCAAGAAAACATCCTCCACACCATTACACCACCACCACCAGCCTGCACAGTGGTAGCAAGGCATGATGGATCCATGTTCTCATTCTGTTTACGGCAAATTCTGACATATGAACTGGTAGCACAGACGTAACGTGTCAACCAGGAATTGATGTGCTGTTTTACACATTTTCAGAAGGAAACTTTTCAGACGCAATAAGACGTGATGGGCAGAGGTGCGCTAATCAAAGTCAACAAGATGCGCACACCCAAATGAAGAAATATTTCAGAATAAAGTCAAATCATGAAGAAAGCGGTACGTTTTAAATTCTGTTAGTGGTTGAGTTGAATGTTGTAGTTTATGTTAAGTTAAATGATAGATTAAAAATTTATTAATAAACATCTGTTTGTGTGTTAATGTATATCATTCAGGCTGGATAACTAGGTTTATAAAGTTTGTCTGTTGTCTTTAATTATTTAAAGACAACAGCTTGTTCTAATATTACATATACATTCAGTCCGTTGTCTTACTGAAGTTTAGTGTATGTTTACAAAATTGTATTACAGGTAGGCCTGCAGCGACGCGTCGATGACGTCGACGACTCGGTTCTAAAAAAACGTCAACGTCAAATCCAGTAGTTGACACATCACGCCCACTCACCAGACGCACATGGGCGACCAAAACAAAGCAGCATGGATAACGAAACTCCGTCCACTTCTCAGGTTCAGCAGCCTGCACTCCCAAGCAATAAATGTCATCAGAAAACAACTCGCCGTCCTACCTCAAAGGTGTGGGAATATTTTAAACACAGCCAGAAACGTAACGGTATAGTTATATGCAGTCTTTGCAAGATGGAGCTAGCATACCACACCAGCACGACTTCCATGTGGGAGCATCTGAAGCGATGGCACCCCATTGTTACTCGTGACGCCGGAGAACAGAAGTAAGTAACGTTACTCTCGCCAATGTTTACTAAATTAATTGCATGTTTGTGTAATGTTAGTAGTGTATTGTGCAACGTGTACTTGAGCTCTCCGCACTTCGTTGATGTGAGCTAACGGTGTTTGTGTTTGATTTCTGCTAATACCTAGTGGCTAAACAGTGTTAAGCTAACGTTAGTTAGAAATAGCATATACTGCTGGCATTATTGGTAAGGATGGCTAACTTATAGCTAACAGAACACCGCTATCTAGCCACAAGTGTCGGCTTACGGCCAGTTTGCATCACCAAAGTGGCGAGCTGTTCGCTGCGGTACCTAGCAGATTGTAGAAACATTAGACTTATCTGTTCAATGTTACGTTTGTCACTTAATATCAGACTGAGTTTTGCCATGAATTGTTGCACAATTAGTCAAATATTTGCATGAATGAATGTGTTTTTATGATCACTGGAAATACTTTATAGTGCAGATAAATACCTCTAGATTAATATGAATACATTAGTAGAACCAAGTTATGCTGTTGCTCTAGTGAGAACCTGAAAATGATGTGCACCCCATTCCAATTTACTAAGAACAGCTGCTAGACGATGATGAAATGCATTGTTGGACATAACATTACTTTTAAAATGGTTGCCATGTCAGCCTTCAAATAAATTAATCATGGCATATCACTGCAGTGAGGTTAAGAGTAGATTTAAAACACCCCACATTGTTAGCTCTTCTTCTAATACGCATTGCCTTTGTGTTATCCAGGGCAAAGCAAAGAACATTACCATCTTATCTGGGGAAAGAGATGCAATGTACTCCACAGAAGGCAGCTGAGCTGAACAAAAGGATCTTGAGGATAAGTAATATTAGCTCACTGTTGCTTGCTTTGAGTGTCTTTTAGGAGGAAACTGCTAACTATGTTTAAAAAAAAAAAATCACCCTAAACCATCACTCATTTAGATAAGAGCAGATGAGAAAATAGGGTTCAGTGTGTAAAATTCCAAACTTCCCCTTTTGTCAACTTGTCTTTTTTTGTTTGTCTGCTTGTTAGAGTTGTCCAATAATTAAAGTTGCATATACTGTAAGCAACATAAGCCTCTATGAAAGGTTCTATGTTATTTATATTAATTTTCTTTATTTTACAGGTGATTGTCAAAGACATGAGGCCTTTGTCTCTTGTCGAAGGTGACGCCTTCATTGATATGGTCGAATACGCCTGCCCGGGCTTCAAATGTCCATCCAGGTGGTGGTTCACAAACAAGTTGGAAAAGACATATGAAGATACTCTTGATGACATAAAGAAGAACATAAAGAAGAGGTCCTCAAAAATCACACTCACCACTGATGCCTGGACAAGCATTGCTACAGAGGCCTACCTTGGAGTGACCTGCCATTACATCAACGACAACTGGGAGATGGTCTCATTTGTCTTGTGTACAAAGCCCCTCAAAGATCGACACACAGCGAAGAGGTCGCTGAGAAGTTCAATTTCTCTCTCCGTAATGACGTCCAGGCAGTTGTCCACGACAATGCAGCCAATGTGGTGAAAGTCTTACGGATCCTTGAAGAGAGGCATGGTGTTGCTTCACTTCGGTGTGCTGGCCATACAACACAGTTGATAGTCAACCATGCTCTGAAAGATCCCCAGATCAGCAGGGCACTTGGGGCAGCAAGGGAGCTTGTCAGCTACTTCCACAGTAGCGATGTCGCCCTCCTTAAATTAAAGGCCAAACAAGAACAGATGGGCACACCTCAACACAAATTAACCCAGGATATACAGTAGCAGTGCGATGGAATAGTTCCTACTATATGATTACACGCCTCCTTGAGCAGCGGTGGCCTGAAACTGCAACCCTCTCAGACCCAGAAGTCACCAAGGCATCAAAACGTTACCTAGATATGAAAGCTGACCAGTGGCGCCTCCTGGAGGAATTACAAAAAGCACTGGAGCCATTCGAGCAAGCCACGGTCTTCCTGAGTAGAGAAGCATATGTCACAGGATCTGTCCTGCCTCCGCTGGTGAAAGGCCTACAGAAGTCCACAGAGACAGTCTTCGAATCTCCTCCCATTACCACCTTCCAAACAACAGCTGCTGCACAGATTGCTTCAAGGTCAGTTTAATTATTCAGTTCTTTAAATCTCTTGTATTGAGCTAACCTAATGTATTTTAAATTAAGCTTTCCCAGTTTGCATCTTTAAATGTTTTCCCATTGGTATTATATCCTGTAGAGCTACTGATTCTACCCTTTTTCTCCAAGAACTGTGAATTTCTGGAAGTGTAAAATCCATTGTTTTTTTAGATGGCAGAGTGAGACTTCGTACAGTGAAAATGGGAACAATGTGAGCATCCTCGCTGCAGCCCTTGATCCAAGATTCCGAAAACTCAAGTTCTTATCCACAGACGATGTCCTGAAGGTAAAAATTAAACTTCATAGCCTTTCACTTGAAGCAAAAACAGTTCAAGTGAGGGAAGAACCTGAAGATGTCTCCCACAAGCGAGATGACTCCAGGCAAAAGCCAAAGTCTGTCCTGTTTGGCTCAGATGATGACGAAGAACAGGAAGATGAAGACCCAGGCAGAGACCAGTGGGAAGCCACAGTCAGGAATGAGGTGCTTGTGTACTTTGGGGAGAAACCCATTCCAAAGGACAGAAACCAGCTCCAGTGGTGGAAGGAAAATGAAACGAGATTCCCTGCCCTGGCTGCTGTGGCAAAATCCTATCTGGGTGCACCTGCTACATCCACACCCTCTGAACGTTTGTTCTCAGCAGCAGGGACAATTGTAAGCAAAAAAAGAGCAAGCCTCACTAAAGACCATGTGGACATGCTCACATTCCTCCACAGCAATTCAGAGTAGGTAATGTAGAGGAGGAGTGAAGTGTGATGAGGGAGGAAAAAAGTGGAGAAATAAACAGTGCTATATTGCACACAGTAACAGAAGTTCTATTTCATTTTGCAATAAACTTTATTTTGGGACTAGGGAATTGTTAAACTAACACAAAGGAATTTGTACTGTGAACTGCACAGTGTTTGTTTTTGCACTGCATTTTTTTGAGATTGTTTATACGAGAGATTTATTTTCAGGCTTTCAAACAGTGTTCTTCCTTAAAAACTGTAAAACAGAAATTTTATTTTGCGTTAAAAACTCAGGAATGTCCATACTGTGAACTACGCAGTGTTTCTTTTTGCACTGCATTTAAAAAAAAAAAAAATCTTTTATACAAGAGATTTATTCTCTTGCTATTCCTTAAAAACTGTGAAACAGTAATTTTATTTTGTCTTGAACAAGCTGGGATATCCATACTGTGAACTCCAAAGTGTTTTGTTTTGCACTACAACTTTTTTTTTCAAAACCTTTAAACGAGTTATTGGTATTGTAAAAGAGTTTTGTTTAACAAAACCATTTTGTATAACACTGCTGTTATTTTGTTTTAAGCAGAAGATGTTTGGCTTTGGATACTTTTGTATAATAAAGTAATCTATTTAATCTTTAGGGGCAATTAGTGATTTTTTTGTTTTTTTTATCATGCAACAGAAAAATAATAGTTAGATAAATCATCTAATTAGTCATTAGAATAGTCGACTATTCGATAAAATAATCGCCCGAATAATCGTTTTAAAAATAATCGCTTACCCCCAGCCCTAATTACAGGTGTAGACTGTAAGAGGAGGATGTTCACCAGCATAAAAGACTCCAGCAAGCACACAACTATTTCAGCAAGATTTGACTTGTATACTAAATATATTCAAAATTGCAATGCTTTTAAACATCTATATCAATAAAGAGCTTTATTAATGAAATTGTGTGTTGTTAAATAAGCATGTTTTGCTTTGGTACTGAAATTGGTAGCTGTGGAATTTTATTGGTATTGGTACCGACTACTGAAATTTTGGTACCGTGATGACACAAGTTCTGGACCTTTGACATTCATGTGAATTCAGATTTGGACCTTTGAATGTAGACTTTGAGAAGCCCTGCTTTAGATGGTAATTCTGGGCAAATGTATTGCACTTACAGGCGTTTTCGCTTTTTCTTTGGATTGACATCCTCGTCTTCCTCTGCTGTTTGAAGATCAGTGTGGGCTTCAGCTTCAGGAAGTTTTAGTCGAGCACTTTTGTAGTTTGCTGTAAATTAGAAAAATCTCATGAGATGATTGGTAAAACCAATGAATCATAAAAGTAAATGTGATATGCATACCAGCTGTATATAAAATTCGAACATGAAATGCATCCCATGTGTGTCCAGGCTGCTCCTGGCTCCGTATGGCCTTCACTAATTCGTCAGGTTTGTAGTGAGCTGGCCATTGACAAATTTCATCTGCAACCCACAGTGCTGGCACAACTTCAACTTCTTGGGTTTCCAGAAACTCCACAATGTGAAACATGGCTTAGAAAACAAACAGACATTAGCTGTAAGATTATGAACAATATTATATACAAACAATAAAAACTATTTTAAAAAATAACTGAAAGAGGTTTTACTTAAGAAAGTTATCCATCCCCTTATGAAAAAGAAGATTATTGAAGTGTGCTATTTATTTTAAACTTAAAATAGGAATGTATACTTTTATAAACTAGAAAGTGGGCCATTTTAGTCCAAAGTGCTATTAGTACACTATCAAGTACACTAATAGTACATTGATATTGTCACGCCCCGCTCCGTCCACTCCTGATGTGTGCCACACCCACCTCGTTACCTCGTGTTCATCCCTGATTGTTCTCACCTGTTGCCTGTTCCGT